CAAACAGCAATGTTACCCGTGACGCCGCAGTTTTCGATAAAGTCGGTGCTCCCGGCGGCATTAACTTGTGTCACCCCAAGAGTAGATGCGCCTTGAACAAAAGTAACTGCGGCAACACTCAACGAGTCAATTTGAATACCGAAAGACGAGCGCATGTTAACACAGACCAGGTACCTCAGTGATAGTAAAACCTTCCGTTGTAACTATGCTGGTCGGACCCGGCGAAATGAGGTATGTTGTAGCACCATCTGCTCCGACGCCCAGCGTCTGGGTGCTGTATGCCGGAATGGTGAAAGACACGGTACTTATAACGCTGATAGCAGCACCATCTAACATGTGATCGCAACGAATGAATTCAAGTTGAGAAACTAGAAAAGGAATGAACGAGAAACTCACACTGCGCGAGGAGAGCAGAAGCAAAGAGCATTCTTGACGTGATCGAACACATTCTGAAGGGATAGCTTTGACGAATGGGAGGATGTGTGCAACAAGATGCAAGCAGAGTTGCACGGGGACACGAGACCGCCGAAGATCTATTATATACATTTCGACTTGTACGTGCCTGGGCGGCCAGAGACCTGCCTGGCGCATCAGCAAAATGTCAGGACCGGAACTGGGACAGTACTAGTAGTAAATGTTCCGAGTCAACAGATACTAGGCAGATGGTGCACAACGGTTGAATTTACCTACACTAGTGTTAACAATACTGGAAGAACAAGCGCTGCATGACTCACATGTACCAGAATCAAGTACCCAATACCGTGCTTGCCCACCGTGCCCAGGCTGGAAATGTTGTGCGGCTCCGAAGACCAGCTGAAAGACGCCTGTGACCCTGGCTCGAGGTCAGGACATGCCCTTGGCACTACTCCAATGTCCCCGACGTTCAACATGATACTTCGCCTCTATTACACGTAAAGGGTTCACGAGACGGAATCACCCCAGTACACACTCATGCCCAACCCGAAGTGGATATATACGTACAAGAGATACAGCAGGAAAGGACGGCCAGGAACGAGTCAAGGGAAAGCCTTGCTCTACCACGCAAGGAATGCCAGCTTGCCATGGTCAGATGATACTAGTATGTAGACCCAGGGATCAGGCTGGCACTCCAACACAGCCAATCGCCAAGCCTAGATCTCGGAATCTCGGAACCACGGCTGGTTAACTCGATGTATTCAGTCGGGCGGTCTTGTACCCACTGGACTTGTTGAAGACACTCGACACGTCTAGGTACGAGGCCGGGAGCTGGTACTCGCTTGTGCTACGCGCATCGCATGTTTGGACCGCACAAGTGATATGTATCGTAGTCACTTACATCCCATTCGTTTATGATTGAGCGACTGCATCGTCTTGTTCACTGTCCCGTCCTGTGCGTCGCAATCTGAGTGACGAGTTGGGGTGCCAAGCATGCCGAAGCTAGGATAATAACCATGCCATCAGATGACAGAGCCCAGTCTCCATGACACAATATCAAGCCAATTCACGGCGGTGATTCAAAAGGAAAAGGTTCGTGATGGGATCAAATCTGGACATAAATCGATTGCAGTGCGTTGAATGAGCCAAGGTGAATAATGAGCTCAGAATACTGTATATACGCACATAAGCCGTCACCATCCTCAAAATGAGGAACATATGATCCAACGATGGCTTCTCGCGAAAATTTGTACGACACACTTCATGATTTGCGAATGCAGAATATATTATATACCGTGTTGAATACACTGTGGCCCATAGCTCGTCAAGAATGATTAAGAGCTATTTCAAGTTCGGTCTACAGGGGTAATAGTCGAACCATACTTCTGTATGATTTCCTCTGGCGTACCACTCTAGCTCGTGCCCTCCATCTGGCACGTCCTCCACGGCGGCATCGCATGTGTTGCTGCAAGGATCTCAGATACAGCATCTGCGTTCAATATTAGCGTACATCTACCAGAGCTGGGTGGAGCATCGTCTATGCTCATCGTTGTTGGCTGAAACGACAGCTGTGGTTGCTCAGATGAATCGTCTAGCGTGCCGTCACGTTTGAATATGCCTGTGTCATTGTCGAAGGCACCATTCGACGAGATCCAGTCTTGCCAAGCAATATCATTGGGCATGGGCAAGGCCGGAGCGATGGGTTGGAAAGGATGGAATCCACGGACACGCATCTCATGGATGAGAAACAGGAAAGGGAAGGGCGCGTGGCGATCCTTGATGTCAAGGGCGATAGCTTTATTGTGGAACTGCTGAAAAACAGGATCACCGGACAAGTTGACGAACACAAATTTGCGAATCAGTTCCCGAGTGCGGTCAGCTCAATGTTCGTGTGAATATGTATTCAAATTCATATCAGAATGAAAAGCTTATAAGCACCAAAAGCGAGAGCATGGTTGGCACACATGAGCAGGCCATTGCGTGGTTCATGCCAAGACGTTTGGCTCGCGAAGGAATCCAATTACAGGCCTTCAGGTTGTGCCACTATGTCTCACGTCAGTCTCGGGGAGCTCAGGGGTCTTTTCAGCTCACAAATTCGACCTCACCTCTGAATCCCTCGAAATTTAACAATGTGGAGCACTGACTCAGAACCCATCCCACAGATGACACAGCGACGCCAACCAAAAGCGTCCCGCGTATTTATCCCAGCGTTAAACGCAGTGGTCGTCGATAACACTGACATGTCGCGTTCTTTCCAACCGTATCCAGCGGGCGGCCCATTGAGAGAGGAAGTGGGAACGTATACAGGGGGCCATAGCGGCTGAGGTGAAAGCGCAAGAACTCTCAAACGGTGTTTGCCTCCATTTGCTGCTGAATGCAATACAGGTGCAACACAGGTGGATCTGGCGTGTACTCTACTCAGGCTTGCAGTGCATGTGGCCAAACAGAGTTAAGCTCATTCCCGGACTGGCGCCTCGTCGAGTCGTCCCGCCCTGGGCCTCGCTGAGGACTCAGTACCCAGTACTCAGGGTGCGTCGGCCCGCCTGCAGCTCACATCCCAATCGTACATTTTCCAGCATACGGGTCCGTAGGAGCCCCCGCCAGAACGATAATCGCTCGTTCAACGTCTCGCGCGACAGACGCGGTCTCGGATCGACGCCTCGTTTCTCGTGTTGCCGCGCCGCTGTCTCGTTCTACAACGAAACGATCGCTCTCGTTCACCGCCCTTGCCTCTATCTACCGCCGCCACTGAGTGTTGCGTGTTGTCACACGACGATAGTCAGAGTTTCAGGCAGGATCGATACTGTAAAATCCTGCGGAAAATCATTGAGCTTCACTTCTATGGAAACCCTTTGCTACATAGCGGGAACAAATACATCTGTGTCTGTCCCGGGTGGAGGTGCTTTTAGCAAGTTCAGTGATAAGACAGCATTGAGTCCAGGTGGCAAGATGACTGATTGGCAACTGTGGTTCAAGTATAGTTGTCCCTCATAGGGCTATGGAGAATGGCGAGTTTTATGGAACAATGGTGACCATACCCAAAAGGGCTCAGACCCAGCACGCATGCTCACTATATTACAAGCTATAAGTGTCAGATCAAATTATACAACGGAGCAGAATACTTAGCTCGTGTTGTCATGTTTAGCGGACGTCAGTGGATTTGATCTGCTTGGCTAAGCATATACGGAATTGGCTCCGTCCCAGGCGCTATGAGCTGTCTGTTTTGGATGACGTCAATATTTTAGTTTGCAGTAAGTTCTTGATATAGCTGTTTACTTATTTCAATAACAATGGATCTTAGCCAAAAGTCCCACATAGATCGGAGAAGCTCAAGGCATGACAACTTGAAAACATCGGAGCCAGGGAAGACAGTGGTGTGATCGCCGGAGGCTAATCGCAGATAGATAATTATCAGCAAGCATGCCAGAACCCGAACAAGTCCATATAGTTTCATAGCCACGCTGTGTCGTTCGCTTGCGCTTCCGAGCCAGAGGTGACGCCACACAGAATTTACAAGCACAGCACAAGTAATGAGCAAGGTAAAAGTCTGCGTTTCGCGCACCGTCAACTGCCAGACTACAACAATATACGAGACTTTTCATACGTAGCAGACAGGGAGGAGGGATAGACGAGAGTAGATATAAATTGAGACATAAATCATAGCTAACCTGCCACCAGCAGTGGACGAGGGCACGCCACCCGGTCCTAAATAGGTATAAGCAACCTATTAGTAATACCAGCGATGAGCGCGCGTGCAGACCTCGATCTACGACCGTCGTTCTCCCTCTTGAGCGGATCGCATGACTTAAGTACGGATATAGACGTGTGATTCTCCACAGAGAATGACAACATATCGCACGAAAATGCAGAATGGCCGCTCAGTGCTCACCATGCGTCTATGTATCTGAGCACAAGGTATGTACACGATCGGATCTCAAGCTAGTCCTACACTTCTAATTGGCCCAAATGCGTGTAATTAGACATCGCAGGCGGAGGCAGGAGCTCAGCGCTCACTAGTGTATATGTATACATTGAGCCAGAGGTGCTCGGCATCCAATAATCGGAGTCAGTACTACTTTCAAGCCTACCAGTGCGACACGCTGCTGGCGTACTAGCCCGCGACACATGTCCATACCTAGTTCATTCGCATCTTAGGTTTACTTAGTAGTACACGTAGGAAGGCAGTGGGAGCTACCGAGGAAGCTCTAGCCAGCCACGATCAATGCCAGACTGGCATCATACCGGAGACCCCCGATTGTTCGCTCCATTCTACTATGGCTAGCTGTTTCTGTGCAAGCGCAGCGGCAACCTGATGCAGAATCTGTGGAGAATATTTAAATAAGGTTTATTAGTCTGGCAAGTGTCTCGCCTGCTCGTCGTCTTCACTATGGCTTTCCTGGAAATCACTGGCGCATTGGTCCTCCTGTTGGTGTCGTATGTCGTCTATTCTGCGTCGACCCATCCCCGTCTCGGGGCGCGGCCTCCTCCTGGTCCCACGCCGATCCCCGTACTGGGAAATCTCCACCAAGTTCCGGCGGAGGGCCAGCACATCGTGTTCACGGACTGGGGCAAAAAGTATGGTGCGTGTACCGCCGGCTCTGGGCTTCATGCACCTCAGAAATTGATGTATTGCTGGCAGGCCCTGTGGTATACGCACAATGCCTCAGCGTAAAAATGGTCATCTTAAACACCTTGCAGGCTGCAGATGACCTTTTGGATAAACGCGGTGCCATCTACTCGGACAGACCTCACTTTGGTCTGATTACCGATGTGTGCGTTCTGACATTTTCTGCTTTGATGACGACGCTCACGTCGATGTACATTCAGCCTAGACTGGAAACCCAATCTACCCTTCCTCCCATACAACGACCAATGGCGCAAGCACCGGCGGTTGTGCCAGAACGCCGTTGGCACGACACAATCACTAGCAGGTTTCCGTCCTCTGCACCGCGTGGAGTCGTTGAAGCTGCTCATGGAACTGATGCAGACTCCCGAAGATTTCATGTTACACATCAAGAGGTTCGTACATGCCTCTGCGGATGTGTTACATTGAGCTGATGTGTTTTCCGAGTCAGATACCCAGCTGCGCTGATGTTGGAGATAGCGTACGGCCACTCGGTGACTTCTATCGACGACGAACTAGTGGTTCTCACAGACGAAGCTGTCTGCGAAATCACAAGTCTGGGTGGGCTAGCTTCCACGTTGATCGATTTTTTCCCAGCCGGTAAGTCTACACGTACCTTGTGCAGGATTTGGCGCGCTTACATGGTTGTTGTATTGCAGTACGACGTGTTTTGACATGGCTGCCTAGTTTTAGCGTCAGTCGACGAGTAGAAAAGGTTCGAGGATTGGTACAGGCCATGATGAATATTCCATACGAGAAAGTCAAGCAGGAGATGGTGCTCTCTTACTTGCTGCAATGAGTGACGCACTAACGAGCACATCAGGCATCCGGATCGGCTAGGCCGTCATTCTTAAAAACTATGCTCGAGGAGCACACACAAGCACAAGATGACATGACACCCGAGCAGGAACGCGAGCTAATGTGTCTGTCAAGTATTATGTACAGCGGTGGGTCGCAAAAGCCACATCTTGCACAGATCCGTCTAAAGTGTCGCATTCGGTCCAGCTGGTGCTGACACTGTAAGAATCTGATTCGATCTTGCTACGTGCTGTTGCTGATATTGAAGGATGTCATCTATGCAGACAGGGGCAGCAATGCTAACTTTCATGCTTGCTATGACACTCCACCCTGAAGTCTTCAGGAAAGCACAGGCTGAGATTGACCGCGTAATCGGATCTAGTCGTCTTCCTGACTGGGACGACAGGGCTTCGCTGCCGTATCTCGAGTGTGTCTTGAAGGAGGTGTACCGGTATGGATCTGAATGTCTGGCCTGTGGCTATGCTTTGTCGCTACTAATTGCCAGCATAGGTGGAACCCTCCCGGGTCTCTTGGTAAGACTGCCGCATGATGTCCGGGGTCCAATGTACACTGACCGACTTGTATGTAGCTGTTCCACATAGGGCCATGACTGAGGATACATACAACACCCTTCACATTCCACATGGATCCATGATGATTGCGAACCTCTGGTACGTGCTCATGCTGCGTATTCTCAGCCTCGGACGATGTTGATTCCGCCTTCGATCCACGAAAGGGGAATGACGAGGGATACAAATATGTACCGTGATCCCGATACATTCTTCCCAGAGCGATTTGAACAAATGGACAAAGTGGAAGCTGAGCTCAAAGATCCGCGTAAGATCATATTCGGATTTGGACGACGGTGCGTCGTTACTGCAATCTTTCCACGCTCATACTGATACCTGTGTCTAGTGTATGCCCTGGGCGTCTGCTGGGCGATGCTAGTGTCTGGCTCGCGATGGCGAGCATAATATCTGTGTTTGACATAGCCAAAGCTCGCGACAAGGATGGCATCGAAATTTCTCCTGAAGTTGCGTTCGTACCTGGATCAATCAGGCGAGAAACCTAACTTCCATAGCTCTGAGATGGGGACTAACGACACGTGTTGCATTAGCCATCCGAAGCCATTTGTCTGCGATATTCATCCTCGGTCTGACGCCGCGGCCAAATTGGTTGGACAGCTGTTCGCCGATGCGGTTCAATCTTGAGCTTGCTTCGAGCTGGTATGTGCAACATCTCGAAAATCATGCTATTATAAACACAGGTCCGTAACGCTGCTAGAGCGCTGAAGTCCATGAGTCGGTGGGACCCTCATTTCGAGGTTGCCTGTATGCAATTGCGCGCCGTTTAGCTTGAATCCATTCAGGCTCTGACTAAGGATCAATCCGTGCCCGACATATTCCTGTGTTGTAGATACGTCCAAGACAGACTATTACTATACAATTTTATTGGAATACTTGAAGACAGCGACTCCGCTGTGTATCGATAGAGATGCCAACGTGCTGACTTCCCAGCCCCTGATTATAACATCCCAGACTGAGATATGTCTGTTACTATTCCTACGTACCTATATACACTCGTACTGACTTGTACGCCATCGGAGCGCGTAGATTGACTCAGCGGAGATACAGATGTGCACGTGTACATCAAGATTCGATGGGGTTATTGATCATGATTGGCTGCGTTAACCCAACCTTTGCAACCGACGCCGTCTGAAGTTGAAAATGCTTGAGGCGGCTACAGCTCCCTGAACAAGGTACGATCTCTTCTTCCTGGTCTGTACACTTATTATCGTGATCCCTAGGATGTATATTGCCTGCGCGCTCATCCTCATCAACATGTAATGACCATGTGCAGGTGCCCGAGGAGTGTAGGGTGGCACCTTCGCGATCCCTAATCTGATCGGTCAACAATAACGTGGACCTGAATGCCGGGACTCGCGCGTGCAATGCCGTTATCCGATCGGCTGCTGCATGTGCGGCACACGACTCATATATGTGACTGACCCGCGAGTTGTATCAGCCGTAATGTGTATAGTAGGTTTGTCTGTATCTAGGAAATTCTTGCATCCCCAGCAGTGCTTGATACTAAGCCTCCAAAGATGGCCTCAACGCGCCCAACGGTCGCCCAGTAGTACCGCTGCAATGCTGTATCGCATATCTCCATTCCATTACGGCACCCGACAGCTGCCACTACGTTACTGCTCCATGAATTTTCTCACAAGACGGCACGGCCACTTGTATTAAAGCAAGGTACGATGGCTGGGAGAATATAGGCAGGCCTGTTCGACCTATTCTCCCATTTACTTCACCATGTCAGCCTTAAACGTTGTTGGCGCATTAGTTCTCTTATTTTTGTCATATCTCGTCTACTCCACTTCGACTAAGCACCATCCTAAGACACATCTCCCCCCTGGTCCTACGCCTATTCCAATGCTGGGCAATCTCCATCAAGTCCCAATGGAAGATCAGCACGTCACATTTGCTTCTTGGGGCAGAACATATGGTACGCGCCGAATCTAATTTCGGCTTGTATGTATCTTATCACTGTCTGTAAGGTCCCATCGTATACGCAAAGTGTCTCCACGTGCAAATGGTCATTCTGAACACCTT